GACGTCTACATTTAGCCTCGGTTAAGAATCAAAATGCAGATGAGTTGTTATCCCTGAGGACTAATATGAAATGCTTCGTATCCAATACAAAGGGTCTCTAGTCCTTTACACTCACTATAGGAAACACGAGCATTGAGCTGCTGTTTTACGCTGATGTTCTGTGAGAGCGTGGTCCTTCCCCGGTCGAGCCGATCTGCAGCACGGCTCCACCATGTAAATTCTTATTCAATAAAAACCGCAGTTTTTTATTATTTATAATGTGTTTCGTGATAATTATTCAAACGTCGTCATCAATTTTTTACTTTTTGTTTAGAATTTTTGTTTAGTAAAAATAATTATACTTCTTCTTCACCAGCCTGTAAATGTCTACTGAAAGATATGATCTTCTTGCGTTGTAGAAAGGGGATTTACCTTTTTTATTAGAATCTGATTGCTATAAATATATAAATCATTTTAATTACTCTCTATTACAAATATTAAAACCTTCCTTACTCATCATTCTATTAAAATCATATAATAGAAAAGATAGCTAATCTCGTAACCCTTACATATAAAAATAATATTTTTAAGAGTTCCAATGATCGATTGATTGCGATAAACCAATGCAAAATTACAAAATCAAATTATATATGTGACATGACGCAGAGCAAAATTTTCAGTGCATGAATATTTGCTCTTCGCTCCCTAACCCAATGCCCAGCCGTGAGCATAGCTATTCTTGATAAAGACATACCAACTAGCGTATTCATAAAAAGTCTTTTAGCATAAGGCATAATATTACATTTAATTAATACTGAAACGGGTACCATTTTTACTGAGAATAAGTCACATAATTGCTTTTTTTACATACACTCCATATAGAGTAAAGAAACAAAACTTCCCCATTAACAGCTCCCTCACGTCTGGAAGGGTGGCTAGACCCTTTATTATTTGCGCCCCTTCGTCTCTTTAGTACTTTGTCAATATATCTAAGTTTGTTTCCGCTGTTTTAAAATTGTCGTTAACGAATAGACTGTGTAATAAGAGAAGAGTGTGGTTTGCAAGATGATGTTGTGACCAGGATTAAGAAAGGAATGCTTCGGTGGTTTGGTCATGTGGAAAGAATGAATGAGGAAAGACGTCCTAGGCGAAAATTTATTGACCAAATTGGCGAGTTATTGAAAACGGGCCAAATTAGGAGTACCCTTAACCAACGAGCATGTATGCGTAGGTGTATGGATGTGAAGGAGGCGAGAGAGGTGTGTCAGGATCGTGCCAAATGGAAGTCTGTAGTCTCTGCCTACCCCTCTGGGTGACAGGCGTGAGTGTTTATGGATTTATGTATGAATAGACTGCTAGTGCTATATCTTTACTGAGGGTAAATAAATGTATATGTTATAGGAAACTGTAATCATTTACCACGAAGTAGGCTCAATGCTCTTTTATAGTTTTCACCTCAATCAATCCATTACAGCCTATAAAATTCCACTGCTGAACATAGGCCTCCCCATAGACAGTCTCATAGGAGGATTTTGCCATAGTGGCCACGTTTTAAAGCAAAACCTAAGAAATTAAAAAAGTATGCAGCGCCGTCAGATCCTTCTTCTTTGTCTTTTTTAACCTTTTTGAATTGACTACTGGATATAGCCCCTTTCAAATATGATTTCGAGCATTATAGTTTATACTGACCACGCTGAGAGCGGTTTGGTTTTCTGTTTTTATTTGTTACTGCTCCCTTTGATTACACTTCCTATTTTTCATTCCATTCTTATTCAGCCATAAAAGTTCACGACTGATCATGGACTCCTCCTTTCCAACGTAGGATTTGCCTTTAGACGGTGCAGGTAGGAACTGATTAGACTATCGAAAATTTACGGTAAATCAATCATTCTGTATTCTTTTGTTTCCTTCTCTTAAACTAGACTGATTTCAATTTTATCTTATAACAATATATGAAGGATTGAAGGTATGTCTGTATTGTGTTTTAATTACTTTTGTATGTTCGTCAAATGTGTTTGCCCAGATTCTAATAACTGTGCAGTTTCAGACATTTTAGAAGGTTCCTGGTTTCGAAAATAATTTTATTATGGAAAAAACAAACTATAGGAACCAAGTGGTAGAAAAAGAATGAATCTTAAAAAATATTTTTGCTGTAGTTTTGTTATCCTGAGAGGAAACACATGAATATGTTTATATAGACTAAACACAGCCCAGATAACCTCTTCTTAGCTACGTTTAAATAAATAAGTAATTACTGATTTGTGTAAGGGGATATAAAATAGAATTATGAATATAATATGATTAATCTAGAAGATCAATAAATCTTATATAATCAACGTTGTCTTAAGCACAGCGCTATTGTCTTGTTATCAATACACTATCTCTCGTCAAATGCAACAATCAGAGCCTCAACCTCAAGGTTGAAGTAATTTAATTGCTTGAAAAACAATTATTTTTCGTTGACTTGTTCTAAGAAAATTATCTTTAAATTGTAAATAAATCAAAAGGACATAATCTTTTTTTTTATTATACGATAGTAATTCTTTTTCTGAAACATTTTCCTTTCCTTCCAGTGTTTTGAGATTAAATTATTGGCTATCTTACTTGTCACAATTTATTTCTTCAAACTACTGTTAAGTAAAATAAAAGCACTAATTCAACGTAACTCTTCTAAAGAACGTTGTTATTTTAGAAAAGAACGCAATCATTATAGAGCCAAGTAACCATCGGATACACACACGCACGCACACACACACACCACACACACACACAAACGCACACACAACAAAAAACGCGCACACACACACACACACACACACACACACACACACACACACACACACACACACACACACGCGCACGCGCACACGCACGCACACGCACACGCACACACAAACGCTCGCAAGCCCGTATATTATGAATCCGACCCCGTAATAAATAGTTTAATACTTTATAATTACACATCATGGATGAACAACATTTTTTGATTTACTGCAAGAATAGAGAAAAAAGAAAAATAAAAAAAGTTCTTTCACATTACATAGGCACAATAGGCAGACTTGTTAATGTAACTCGCACTGATAATTCTACGCCCCATTACCAGTTTGCGAAATATGTTTAGCATTTTTGAATGGTTTTTCCGCCATTAGTCAGTCGCTAGAACCTCATAAATCCACTGTGTGTAGGTCAGGTTAGCATTTTAGGAAAAGGCTACACAATCCTGACCTTGTTACATTTTACTGTTTATGTATAAAATTGCCCTCAGCTGGAGTTCGATGGAGATTAGTTTGTAGCACATGAGTAGATAAGACTCTTGTGGTTTGTAGCAAGCTACTAATGTTGATACTTCAACTTATTAGTTTGCCATATTCAAGAAACGTTTCATTTTTCATAACGATCAGTTTTTTGTAATAGACATTGAAAACCCGAGTTTGTACAGAAAATAATATATGGCGAATAAAGGCGAATAAACGAAGTTTAAAAATGCCACAGGAATAGTTTGCTATAGAAACAAATTATAATGTGTTTTCGTATAACATAAAAGATAAGCCATTTCACAGTTCACGAACTTTAAGCGCTAATTTACTATGTTTGCGATGTCTGCAGGTCTGTGGAATAAAAATATTTCTAGGACATATGAAGTCCGCCAACGCTCAAAAGAGCATGGTACATATATTTTTGCTCCGTAACTCTCTCAAAAATGAGAGGTATGCACAACAGGAGCCAGTAATATAAAGATACAACTTTAACTTCATGCAATTTCTTTAAATATTACTGAGAATTGAATAAAACTAATTTTAATTTATTTAATTATTTTAAAAAATTTAATTCCTCGCGTTTTGGGAGTTTTACCTCACCCATGGAGGTGTTTGACGTCCTGACGTCACAGTTAACGAAGGCTACCTTTAAATTTTAAATATTAATTTATGTAGTGGAATACTTCGAAATATTTTAAATCCGTATGTAAACATGTACTTAAATCTACATCAGTCTTACTTAAGATAAATACGAGTACGTGCGAAGTAAGATCAAAACAATATTTTCTCAGAACTAATTAATGTTAAACATTATTTTTCTACTTAAGTAATAACGAAATGTATTTCATATATTAGTATCCCCGACTTTGTAGTGTGTATGAGTTTAAGACGATCATATCGATATCGATAAATAAATATAATATGTAACATTACTCTTTGGATGCCAACATGAAGAAACACGACGACGTTTACTAAATTATTATTTAAAGTAGCTTTGTTTTGCGTTTTTAGAGAGTCTTTACTTTTAAAATATAGTTATATATTAAATAAACGTTATTAAATTTCAACACCATTTGCAATTTAAGGAAAACTCAAAATGCATTTTTAATGCTCACGTAGGGCTCAATATTAAACTCCCAAACACGTTTTGAACATCACGTTTATATTGTAATAAGAAATAGAATTGCAATACATGTATTCATTTTCAAACACAAAATGGGTTTCTCCCGCGCTTTTAATAATCGATAAAATCGATCGACTTCCTCGTCTAGTAGCACTTATTGCCTTATTACGTTTGTGCGAATTTATTTTATTTTTATTTTAGTAAGCAGTAGTAGTAGTAGTAGTATATACTTTATTGTACACCACACATATACAACGAATAAATACATTACAGAGAAAACTTAATATATACGTATGTACAATAAGGCGGTCTTATCGCTAAAGAGCGATCTCTTCCAGACAACCTTTGGGTTAAGGAGAAACTGGAATTAAGAACAGTAGGAGGTGGTGCGTTTTATGTTACACTTACATTCTAATATCTAAATAAACTAAACTAGGTATATTTGTTAAAATACCACAATAATACATTAAAAAAAATAATAATAATAAAATAAAGGCGTAGGGAAGTGACGACCCCATAGCTCGCTGACGTAACAGTTATGTGACAAAACTACTACGTCGGCGCAGTCAGTCAACGCCCTGCCAAGAGGTGTGAGCGCCGTGCCTAGGCAAAATTGTGGGTGCAAAGGTCCGTTTGTGCATATGACCGAACCACGAAACGGTGCCGGGCTTGGGCGTCTCCTGTTATTTGGCGCCCATAAATGGATGATGGTACAAAGAGGAACGCGCATAGGACCGCTGCCTGGGGGTCGCCGGGGCGCGTCTGGAGCTGGCGTTGGAAGCGGCAGCATGCGGGCCGCCAGCCGAGCGCGAGGAGCTGTACGATCACCTAGCAGCCCTCCGCATCCATCTTCCCTACCAGAAGGCTTGGTGTCGGCTGGGTCTTCTCGGACTCAGCAAGCGGCACCCGCCGCTGGTGTAGCACGTCGCATGCGTCGGTTACAAACAATGAACGCAAACGCACTGCGGACGTACTTTAGGGCAAAAGGGGAAGAAACCGGATGTTTGGCATATCGGGCTCGGATGCATCGCTTTTTTGCAGAGCTGGAGCCACCTCTATCCGTCACTGAGCAAAACCTGGCTGACCGAGTTCGGTACAACCTGCGCTCCAACATATTTGGTGACGCCGAACTCGAACGACTACGATGTGAGGCTGTTCCCTCATCGGATGGAAATGCTACGGCTGGGAATGCGACGCCACTAATTGCGCAGTAAACTGCAAATGTGGACGCTGCCGTCAATATTCCATTTGTGGTCGATTCAGACGATGATGGAATAGTCCTCCACGAACTAGAGAAAATGAGAAGCATATTGGAAGAGTCGATGCTGGAAACGCGCAGCATGCCTCTCGAAAATCGACCGCGACTTCCCCGCATACCCTTAGCAAGCGAAATCGGGCTGTCGTGCGCAATCAATGCTGGTGACCTGTCTGGAAGCCAGCCGGGACCTTTGCGAGACGGACTCAATTCTTTTTGGCGCCGCACTGGCAGTATGCCGTATTATTGGCGCCAAACTTCCCATGGCTGGACGTGCTACTCAACAAGGTAGCGCCATCCCAGCCTATAGAAAAAGAATCGAGGACCGTATCGCAAAGGCAAGAGCCCTTATCGGCAGACTGACAAGCTTCAGGTCGGGTAATAATAGACCGAGAGTTGTGCGCACCGTTAGAATGGCGTTTGCTGGGACAAATATTAGTTTGTCCCAGCCGGATATCATGCAGAAACTAACGGAGCGCATAGATGACCTGAAGCAAAAAATCGCTGCTTGGGGGAAGCGGATTCGACGATTTAGCGAGAGGTCAAGGCGGTTCAACCAGAATCGTCTCTTCCAGAGTGATCAGAAGAGGCTCTATAAATCATTGGAGCGACCAGAGGTATGTGGGCGGGCTCAGAACTGGATCAGGCTGACACTGTCGCATTTTGGCGTGGCCTGTGGTCAGAGCCCGTAAACCACAGCGAGGGCCCTTGGTTGGAAGTTGTGGCGAGCCAGAGTGCAAGTGTTACGCCTATGGACCCCGTCACCATAACGCCTGAAGACGTGGCTGAGACGGTCCGTAGGGCCCCGAACTGGAAAAGTCCGGGGCTTGTAGGGCTGCATCATTACTGGTTGAAGGGGTTCGTAGTGTGTCACGCTGTGCTCGCCCGACAGTATCAAGAGGCTCTCGATCAGAAGTCGCTCCCGAGCCTCTTCACTACTAGGATCACTCACTTGGTTCCTAAAGATCAGGATACTACAAACCCGAGCAAATACCGCCCCATCACGTATCTACCCACTATATATAAGACACTGACATCCATTTTGAGTGCAAGAATCACTCGTCACCTGGAGCCAAATCAGGTGATGTCACGCGCTCAAAATGAATGTCGGGGCGGTGGTCGTGGAACCAAGGAGCCACTCCTCATTGACGCGATCATTGGCAAAGTGGTGAAACGCAACCGTCGGAACTTCTCCGCCGCCTGGATAGACTACAGAAAGGCATTCGACTTGGTGCCCCATACATGGCTAAAGAGGGTCCTCGAGCTGTACAAGATTGACTGTACAGTTAGAGACTTCCTCGAGCAGTGTATGGGGCAGTGGAGTACGATTCTCTGTTATGTGGGCGAGCGGATGATGGCTGCGGAGAACCATATAAGGATAAGAAGGGGTATCTTCCAGGGCGATTGTCTGAGTCCAATCTGGTTCTGCCTCTCTCTGAACCCTCTCAGTACCTTAGTGGAGGGCTCCGGGAGAGGATTTCAGCTACGGAAGGGAGGAACAAAAGTGACCCACCTTTTCTATATGGATGACCTCAAGTTATTCGCCTCCAGTCGCTCCGATCTTATGGAATTGCTAAACATCACTTGTGAATTTAGCAATTCTATTGGAATGGAGCTAGGGACGGATAAGTGTGCGGTCCTTCATGTTGAAAGGGGAAGGGTTGCCAACTCTGAGGCATTCGTCAACTTAAAGACCCTTTCCGAGGCTGAAACATACCGATACCTGGGAATGTCACAGAACATCGGTATCGATGAGGGTGGTATGAAATAGTCATTTTGCGACGTGTTTTATGCACGCTTGACCAAAGTGCTTAACAGCCTTTTGTCCGGTGTGAATGAGACACACGCATATAACGGTTGGGTCATGCCTGTCCTCATATATACCTTTGGCATACTCAGGTGGACTCAGACCGAACTTAACGCCCTGGATAGAAAAGTCCGCACTACCATGACGTCCCATAGGATGCATCATCCGAGATCGCCGGTAATGAGGCTGTACTTGCCGCGAAAGCATGGTGGGCGTGGTTTTCTGAGCGCGCTCACCATGCATAATCGCGTAGTGTGCAGCCTCCGTGATTACTTCCTGGCGAGATCGGATGATCCATTCTATAATGACGTCATTTCTAGTGATAAAGGGCTTACCCCTCTATCCTTAGCCCACGAGCAATGGCAGGACCCAGCAGTGCTTAGCATTTCCGACCGGGTGACCGTACGGAAGGAGAAGGAGCTCCACGGGAGGTACTACAGGGCTCTTCATGAGCCCTTCGTAGATACAGTCGCCTCCCTCAACTGGCTACATTTCGGTGACCTCTTCGGGGAAACCGAGGGTTTTGTCTGTGCAATACAGGATCAGGTTATTAAGACTAACAACTATCGGAGATACATCCTAAAGGATGGCACCGTCGACGTCTGTCGAGCTTGTCGCCATCCCGGTGAGTCACTTAGGCATGTCATCTCCGGTTGTTCGGCGCTTTCTAACTCTGAGTACTTGCACAGGCACAACCTAGTAGCCAGAATTCTACACCAGGAGCTCGCTCTGAAATACGGTCTCGTGGACCGGAAATTGCCGTATTACAACTACTTGCCGGACGCCGTGCTCGAAAATGACCGCGCCAGGCTCTACTGGGACCGGGCCATCATCACAGACAGGACTATTCTTGCGAATAAGCCTGATATTGTGCTGATGGACCGGGCACAGTCAAGGATATTTTTGGTCGATATTACCTTCTCGTATGACGAGAACCTCGTGAAAGCCGAAACAGATAAGCAATCAAAATATCTGGACCTGGCTCACGAGGTGACCGACATGTGGGGTGGTCTACCGACCGAAATTATTCCTGTAGTCGTCTCTGCGAATGGGCTAATCCCAGTTAGCCTCTCTGGTCATCTGAGGCGACTGGGACTCCGTGACGGACCGCTCCGGGCTCAAATGCAGAAGGCGGTGCTCCTTGATACTGCCCGCATCGTCCGCCGGTTTCTTTCCCTTTCCCCCTAACCCTCGGCCGTTTGGTCTCCCCTGCCGAGGGCTTCCATCTGGTTGGGCTTTTATTTATTTATGTATTTTTGTATTTATTTTATTTTATTGATATTTATGTATATTTATCTTTTCATTTTCGTTTATAATTATATATTTATACATCCCAACCAGATGAGAAAACTATATAGATACCCCACAAAATAAACATACATATTAATAAATAGGTATATATATAAATATATACGCATACATATATATACATAGATAATAAATAAATAAATACAAAACAAAGAGGAAAAAGAAAAAAAAAAGAAAAACACAGAATAACTATCTGTTGCTAGAATTGGTTATCAATAACCACAAAGTGTTAGGTAATGCTTCTTGACGTCACTTTTGAAACTTTCTAAAGTTTGTGCACGTTGAATTTGGAGTGGAAGTTCATTCCATAACCTTATGGCTAATAAGCTATTAGACCAAACAATTAAGTACTGGTGATACTATTTTATCGGGATCATTCCTTACATAAGATAATATAGAAAGGAAAATCTTGTTGACAACACATGTACGTACTACAAGGAAAACTTAAATAGCGCAGGATTTTTTTTAAGTAGCTGAACATTTTATTGACGGCTCTAGCGGCTTAGCAATAACTTGCGGCTCAAAGTACGCTGGTTCGAATTCCGCACGGAACAATTAGTATTTGTATGGCCTGGCCTACAAGTAATTGTTCCTGGTCTGGAAGTTTGTCATTGTAAAATTTATGTATGTAAACCACCTCCACGATTCAAGAAAAAATCCTAGTGGGGGTTACTTTAAAGAAATAAAAATTTAAAATTTTAGCGTCGTCAATGTTGCGAGGCGTCTGGTTCTGCGATCGTCAATGTGTCTTTCAAATTAATCCTTCCTATAAAGAAAGAGGTCATTATTCAGTATTGGTCTTATGTGGGCTGATGATGATGAAGAAGATAGTAATTTTATTAGGATTTTAATTTAAAAGATACCTTCCTAATAATCTGTAGGTATTTCCTACTAGGACGCTAATATTACAGATCTTTTGTTATATACATTGGTTGCGCGGAAAACCATTCGCGTTTTTTTATTTTTGACGGTAGGAACTTGTCGAATCATTATTCCCTTCCGAAACAATATCATTCGTACCCTCCTATCGACACATCGGGGTGGTGGGGTGGGAGGGGAAAGAAGACGATTCTAGAACATCGCGTAATCATCGGACCCGAGGATATATAAGACACGCGCGACCGACGCGCGCTCTCTTCTCCCGCCGCAGTCGTCGTTGAACTACAACCTCCTCTTCCCGCGCGCTCGTTTGGAAACACCTCACTAGTGGAAACCGCTTTGGCCTGGAAGCAGTCGAGCTCCAGGAACCCGCCTCACCTCGTGTGAGATATCGTCGCGCACCGCCTCTCTCCGGAGTGTTCCAGAAGTCGCTATAGTGATCGACAGGAAGAAGAAACCCCGGTGAGTCAATACTCCTTAATTATACCTGCTTGCTAATAATTTAACCCGCTCCTATCTGTGTTTTTTTCCTAGTCAAGCAGGATTCCTTTCATCGATTCGACAAGTAATAGTTTAGTTTAGGGAAGAGCGAGTGCATTGTACCGCATGCTATAGTAGTCGCTTTTAACGTAAGCGTAGAAGCAATCGCATATACAGTCCACTTTAGTTAATATCTCGCGTAATAGGTTTGAGGTTTGACCGGGGAACTAGATTTTCGGCAGCCTTAAACACGTGGCTCCACCATTTTATGGTCCTTCGAGCCGGATCTGGATTGGTGTTTAGTGGTTATCCAACCATTTTCTGGTCGAATTATTAAATTAATTGTTTAGATAACGCACTCTAACTTATGGAATAGACTTAAATAGTGTTCGTTTAAATTAAAATTTTGATTTGTTACTCGCAAACAGAATTATTCATTTAATAGCGCTCGTATTTGGTTAAATTTAAAGCTTATTAAATAATTG